GGCTATCCTAGGATATCCGCTCCATGCGGAAGTTGCAACTAATAAATCAGGTGTTAACAAATGGAAACTACACTGCCTACGCCCACTGTGAAATATAACGTTTTGAAGTTGTTTTGTAAGTTCTTACTTTTATAAGAAAGCAGCGGCACAGCTGTTGGTAAAATCCTTCAGGCATCACGACGGCGGGATATAGTTGGATAATCATTCTTACTGCGTCCTTAGTGCATTGTTAACGATTAATGACCCTGTAGCATTTAACTTGACGATTGCTTCAGTGAAGGCACATAACCGAGAGATTACATCTTGCTTACAAAAGTTTAATATACGTAAAAGGGTCAAAAGTCTAAACCAACGGCAAGTTGACGGAAAGAAAGTTTTTGTTTACACCAAGCAAAACAGTTAGGCAATAAAAAATAAAAATCTGAATTCTGAAACACTCACTTAAAAGCGTTCAAAAGAACTTCAGCTGTTTCTGCAAAAGATAATTCCAGAAGCACTCGTTCTTCTTCATCAATCACGTAAATACCAGTCCAGTTTATAGCAACGGTTACCTAAAGGTATCAAATATACTGGAATTAAATTCTTAAATTCTTAAATTAAATTCAGCTCAGAAATAAATGATTCGGAAGTGGTAGAGGATAAATGATGTGCCTTCCTGCTGCTTCATGGATATAACAGCTATTTCAGGAACTCTGATAGTCTATGTTGCCCTATTCCCTCCCTTGAGAGTCAGTCGAAACAACTACAAGCGCCTACTGAGCACACTGTCTATATGAATTTCGAACTGCATTAGCCACAGTTTTGAGTACTTCCAAGACACCCGACAAAAACTCAAATTCATGACGTACGTCATCAGATGGACAAGTCTCCTGAGAGTCTTATTTAAGCCAACCAGCCTTATTTAAGAAGCAAACTATCATATTTTTCAATGTTTCTCTTGCATAGGACATACAAGATCTCTAAGAAGCTGTTACTTGATCAGAACGCTATGCATAAGATCATTCATATGCACACGTATTCTTTATTTCCAATCACATCGCTGAATGCCAACAAATAATCATCCATAGTAATACTTGAAGCTCCGGAGTTGTCGAGTAATCTAGGAACAGTATAAAATTGACAGGTTGGTGTAGCGGAGCGCGAAAAACCCGAATATTGTATTCCTAGTTCGTGACTGATATGTCACCAAGAAGTAGCTGTACGTTGTACATAATGCTGTTGACTAAAACTCTCTGCATTGAGTATAGCGCGTCATTATCCCTATATATCAATAAAGCTTTACGTCGCTGAAGGAATCAACCCAATCGCGGGAGACCCGTGATATGTAGCTACAAGGCCTTCCTTTTCTTCTCAAGATAACATGCGACTACCTCTATCGCCAAATAGCATAAGAATCAAGTAAACTTCTGCAGAGATCGTCCCACCAATCTACAAAACAATAACCTGTGGCAACAGCGAGCGAGGTCACAACTACATAATGCCCTCCTTACGCAGTCACACTGTAGCACAGCTACTGACATCACTATAAATCATCGTGGTACATACTCAATCATCAAGACACTCGGCTACCTCACCGATACATCCTATACCATACATTTGTGTCAAAGGGGCCCATGCATTTTAGAAGTTTCTTATGCTCGCAGGAATTTAGAACTTGGTTTAGAAGATACGAAAGAAAATTAGGACAGGCTAATGGTAATGTGAACATTTGTAGATGTCAAATTGGCGGGAATACATAGAGAGACCAAGATTAACTGAATCAAAAGTAGGTAGGAAAGTCAGAGCGATAAAGATTAATTTAAGTGCCATCTTAAATGAACATGTTACTGTATTTCTATTCATGTAATCATAAAGGTTATTCATTGTAGTACTACTTTCTCGGTACACATTTGGCATGAATTCCAAAAGATATTTAAGAATACCAAATATTTGCACAATTTTCAAATATTAAAAAAGCAGCGAAACAGCGTAATAGAATTAACGGTTAGAACTGTTAAATTTTTTCTTACACAAGTCAGAAGAAATTTATTAGTCGATTTTGAAATTTATTTGAATTTATCATGACTGATCTCGTGTATAAACTAAAAACAAAATTATAAAACAAGAACTATAATGGTGAAGTGCTTTGCATAAGCGCATGAAAACCTTAATTTCCAAACATAACTTTTGCACAACCTGATCCTTAGGCAACTGGCTTCCGGCTAGCTTCCACGCTTCATAAAATCGAGAGAACAGCAGTGGCCATTTGAACATGGCCAAAGTTACGAGGCGCTGCTTGAGACACAGAGCGGTGATTTCCGGTTCGTCTTTCACGAGCTGAACAACAGAGATTAGACCGAAGCAAAACTGAAAATGCAGCAGTACATTTCTAATGGCGTGAAGCACCAGTTGCAGCCAGGTGTCGAGCAGCTCCTGAGAATGCAAAGCAGGATCGTAGGTTCCGATCGGCAAGTATTGCGGCAAAACGTCGGATAACGTCTTCAAATCGACGGTCGTACCATGGTCCACGCAATACTGCAGTGCGATCAACTTGGCTACTTCTTCATCCTGAAAGTTTGATGGCTATAACTGAAAGACAGAACCCACCGCACTAGGCATTAAACAACTACCTATGAGTTACCATTTAGATGGATAACTGATGACTGCTCACTATATATAGAGCTGTCTCGTAAAACAAGTCGCAGTATTAAATTTTCAGGTGGGATCAAAGACAGCTGATGAACGAAAGCGAAATATTAATAAAAACATGACAAACAATTATTAGTATCACAGGCACTGAGTACATGAGGAGTAACCAAACAATAAATATGTTTTTTTCCGCTGTAATCTACTTTCACGAAGGCCAGTAACTCCTATTTTTCTGACATTTCGTAAGCAGGGAGCTGGTAACGACCAAAGGACGAGATAATACTACACAGTAAAGCACTATAGAGCGGTGGAGTGTACTGCCGTTTGCGTTACGTAGCCATGAACGTCTGCCCGTCTTGAAATGCATTTTCTTCCCGTGATATAGACTGTGCCGTTTTGTCAACCTGTAGCAGGACGCGCTGAAACTCCTGTTCAGCATAACGGGTTGATGTTTGGTGAGTGACATCACTGCGCAAAAACTGCTAGCAAAAAGTGACATTCCTAGAAGTGACTGTGATTACATAGGATAGTACAGTAATAATTAAATCAAAGCGGATATGCTACAAAAATATTTTATGCAGAAAATATCTTTGGCCAAACATTGCACAAGCGGCCAAAATACATGTAAACTAGTTACTTGCAAATCTTTTACTCACTTAACTGACCTGTCATTTGACTTGTTTAAATGGTTCCCTAGTCCTCTAAAACAGAGGAGACGGGGCGACTTTGTTGTAGAACTCGTTATGACTTGCACGAGTCATTCACCACGGAGTGGTGCAAACTGGTGTAAATCAGTTTCTATTAGTTTTAAACCGTAATACGTGACATATGCTCTGATAGTGGACAATATAGGAAAGTGACCGAAACGTTGACTTAGAATAAAAACGTTGGCTAATGCAGCTTGCTGTGGCTGTAACAGCTGCATGGGAAGAGTTTAGCCTAGAAGACATTTTCTTACCATTACATCAATCAGTCACTCAGTTCGATGACCGCTTATCCTTTCTGAAGACGTCAGACAGTGTCTTCAACGTTCCCTGTCCTGTGCCAGAAACGCTCATAGTTATATCACAGTACATACTACCATATCATATGTGCCCTGACAGCATCGCAGCCGTGACATGGCGGCGGAGCTTGCGTTCTTCAGTGACTGCCGAAGCTATGCCAACTGAAGCTTCGGCTTTTTATAGAGCTACCCGTCTTGGACAGGTTAGAGGCGAGAAGCCAGATTAATCATCGACCCATCGTTGTGCATTTCATAAGCTGTTCATATGTCCAAGCATGCAAAATAACGAACGCCTCCTCCAAGACCAACTTTTACGGCGTATGACACCGATTCCTTGTTCCTAATTG